CATACAGAGTCTTTTGTAGCTCTTGGAGAAGTTTTGCTTGGTTTGAGAAAATTACCTCTGTGATGTCATAGAGTTGTCATCAGAGTTGTATCAGGGTTACAAGTTTTTAACAGAAATCCTGGAGTTATGTGGGAGTTTATCAGGCAAGAAGGGCCTAATGAAAGACAGTACCAAGTTGCATCATGGGGGTTGGAGGGATAGCCTAATATTGAGATAGCCTATAACAGTGTCTGCTGACACAGCAAGTCCATGCAGGAGACGTTTAACAGTAAAACATAAAAAATACAAAAACAACAACAACAAAAACATAACAAAAAATATCAATTGAATATGGTAATAAATGTATATTTTAGAAACAATTAGCTGACAGATTCTATGATCAGGCAAGACAATTATATGCAGCATTCACTTTGTTAAAGAATAAGCATCGCCAAATCAGTCACATGCCACTTTTGATCGTAATATTCAAGGATGTATATCTTAGAACCAAAACGGATGGAAGCTGCTGGGTATCACAATAATAAATACTTCACATTTTATACCTCTCTCTGGTTTAAAATCTAGTTTAAGTGGTTTGTTGTAATGAATACTAACACGGGGTGGTTTCTGATGCAGTGTAAAGGGAAGCAGAAGTCTGGTTAGTTATCTGAAAAGTTTGGTGAGTTATTTTAAATGTTTGGCTAGAAAAGCTGTTGAAAGGTTTGCTAGTGCTAGTGAGTGTTTTGTAACAGTTAGCATGAATTAGATGAAGGGTTGTGTTGGGTGTGTGGGTGCAGATAAAGAGGGGTGGTTCTGGGACGCTGGAACACACTGAGCCTTCTCGATGTCGTGGGCCCAGCTCAACAAAACACCAGTTACTGAGAGGGTACCCACTTGATGACGCTTGTAGACCTGCCTTCACTCCTACACTCAAACAGAATTTGCATTGGTGTTGATGATAATACAGTTACAGACTCGCTGGAATTGTTAATAGTCTTCTTTTGTTAAGCAGTCTTGGTAGAACAGTGCCAGTGGTTGGACAACTGAGCGGACCCAGCTCTCAGCTGGCCAGACACTGGTTAACCTGAGAAAATACAATGTAGATGCTGTGTGTCGAGCCACATATCTGCTCGTTGCTTGGGTGAGGATAGGATTCAGGGATGCAATTTGTTGTTAGGGGTAGGTTATGTCTAGAAAATGGTGTTGCTTATTGTGGGGCTTTGAAGATTTATGACAGCATGTCCTGACACCCCCTCTTTAGGGCCAAATAATGTGTAAACATCATTTAACTTGTTTACTGAGTTTCCATATAAATGCTCTCATATTCTTTGGTGCATTTAAGTGTGTACTTAACCGTCACTAAGACTGTTAAGTTTTTACCAGAATTGATCTTTTATAAATCAGACAAGTTCTCCATCACTGTGTCCTCAGTGTGCGAAATACTCTATGGCAAGCAGTTGTGGGGTCCTACATGTCCACTGAGGCCTATATGTAGAAAAAATATAAGAAATGTCAGTAAAGCATTTTCTTCTGCCATCCACAGTCCTGCATGTTTCCAGTTGTTCAGGCGAGCATATTATTATTTAATTGAGACTGACAAGAACCTTTTTCCACTGGATAAAAAAAGACATAAGACAGAAATTAGTTTGCAGAGTTACAACCAGTGCTGATGTTGTGTCAATGTCTATTGAGCCAAACCTTATCTCTAACCCCAACCAGTCTTCTTTTATAATCCTTCACCTGACCCCAACCTCACCTTAACCCTGAAGGCTAGTTCATGCTTTGTGCATCCATGTGTCTAAGTCTGTGGGAGTCCATGCAGGCCCAAAGGAAACATCTGCATGCAGCCCACAAAGTCCTCATGAACTGTTTGCTCTATGAATACGCTGACAGTGCACTTACCTGCCACTTTGTGCATAGAGCGCAGAAGCATGAGGGCCAGAGGGGCCACGGCACGGGTACCTTTTGGAGTCTGGTATAATTTATGAATAACAGCCTAAAATGTGTTGGGTTTTTTTTCAAAACTTGTACTTTAAACAGTCAAACAATATTGATCACCATCACCCACAGTGTGCATTGTTTGTCAGTGACACCATGTGCATGGATGGCAAGTAAACAATTAAACCAAACAGTGGCCCACATGTGCATGCATGGTTACTAAAATAAAAATGAAGAAACAAAGTCAGAAATCCATATTTGAATTTTTCAAAAGCTAACAGACTACAAGTGAATGTTACTCCAGCTTCTGCTTGTACCTCCACTACCCCAGCTGAGCACCCAGAGCTGCAATCTCCACCTGTCGCTAACAGAAGTCCACCACAGGAGATGTGTCGTTCTGTGGTACCTGCCCTCTTCCCACTGCAAGACATAACACCAAGTCTGTTCAAGTCAGTGCTGTAGGGATCTTACAAAGCCTCATCAACCAAATGACCCTGCTGTGTTGAAAAAAAATAATAAAGTACAGGAGACTGGATCTTCTCAACCAGGAAGATCAGTTCAGCACCAGTGGGTATATGGGTGCGTGTGCTGCTCTGCACACCCCGCCTTTCTCTGAGTGTATATTTATCTCCTGGGTGCTGAGTCATGATAACAGTGAACATAATGTTGATTTAAACTTGTGGATGGATGTGTTTTGGTTGTGAACTGGATGTTTGAAATGCACTGCTGTTGTTTCATTTGCAGTGGTGAAAAGTAATTAAGTACATTTACTCAAGCGATACCTGTACTTTACTTGAGTATTTTCATTTTTTGCTATTTCATACTAACAAGGCAAATATTTTACTTTTGACTCCACTACATTTTTTTATAACTTTAGTTACCATTTACTTTTCAGAACCAAATTATTATAAAAATTACAGTATAATTATTAGTCTTCATTGATTTCTGGTGGAAAATTCACAAGCTATCCAGCAGTGTGTAAAGTAATTTAAATTATAAGCATATAAGCTCATTAAAACTAGCTCCCCCTTTACCAGCTGCAACAATCAATGTGATGTACATAATAATGCATCAGAAATTATAATTCAAAAATATGAATCTGCATAATTAGTACTTTTACTTTTAGTACTTTAAGTATGTTTTGATGCTAATACTTTGGACTTTTACTTAAGTAACATTTTGAATTCAGGACTTTTTGTAACAGAGTATTTTTACACTGTGGTATTGTAAATGATCTGAATACTTCTTCCATCATTGTTCATTTATACATAGCCTATGTGTAAATAAGCTTGGCTTGTTGTGTGTTAACTATTATAAGCATATGTGTATTTCGCTGTGCATGTTCTTCATACACAGATGTGCCGATGTGTGGTGTCAGACTAAAAATGTTCTGTAACATTACTCTATACTCATTCATTGGTAATATAGGTCTATGTGTGTTTCATTTCATATGCTCCCTATCCTCTCCTCATGCCTTGAAATCATGGCCCCCCCTTGTTCACATGTGTTCCAAGGCTTTACTGGTTATTTCCTGTCCTTGGCCCTAGTCTTGTTTTCCTATACTTGTCCTATTCTTGTGCACACTGTTTTCTTTTGCTGCCTTTTCCCTGTTATTCAGCCAAAGACAACAAACAGAGAGGCTCTTCTTCTTGCTGTCAGGTCACCATCACGTTTTCTAGTGTGAAACATGTCTACACGCCCCTGACTGTAGTACAAATAGAACCAGTTGCATCCACAACCTATATCCATCCAAGGACAAGCAGAAACCGTAAGCAGGCCTTAGCCTGTTATCATTGCTGCACCCAATCATAACCTAACCTAAACTCCAACCACAAACATAGGGGGAAGCTACAGGGAAACATCATTTTAACAGGAGGAAAATGAAGCGGGGGGGGGGACAAATCCCAGCCAATCCCAGCTGACACTGGGTGAAAGGCTGGGTACACCCTGGACAGGTTGGCGGTCTATCACAGGGCTGACACATAGACAAACAACCACACACACTCACACTCAGTCACCAGTCAATCTAAGCTGCATGTCTTTGGACTGTGAGAGGAAGCTGGAGTACCCGGAGAAAACCCACACAGGCACAGGGAGAACATGCAGACTCTGCACAGAAAGGCACCACACCGATTAACACTGTACTCCTGCAACACTGTTGAACTAATAATGGACGGTTTTTAAAAATTACACTTGTTGTAGCAGAATCATATATTTATTCTTGTCAAAATTTGGTGCCTAAATTGCACACAGTGCAATTCAACTGCCGACAATTCCATGAGAGATTCGGTGTGGTCCACTAGTAGTAGTGGACCTGAGTAGTGGGCCACACAGATCTGGTAAGATCACTTCTTTCTAGCTCCTCTTCTGCAGATTTCTTTTTCTTGTAGTCTTCAGCCTAAAATGACGCTGACTCAAGTGGCAATTTATCAGACTCATGCATCTACCGTGGCCACAAAGGGCTTAATATAACCATTTCACATACCCACAGTACTCCCCAACACCTAGAAACACATTTTGAGGTGTAAAATCAGTGAAGTTTCCCTTTGACAAAGTTAAAATAATAACATCCTGGATTACTACATGTACTGCTTTGCAGACAAAGGGTGGAAAGACACTCAAGCTGGCAAAATTTGGGCAGATATGTTTGTGTTATGCAGTTCTACTCTAGATAATATGAAATTAAGAGTTCAATTTAAAAGTTCCTAGTGAAATGAATTAACTCACTATTTGTAGTGTGTAAACTTTACTTTTAAGAAGACACCCTCTCCTGGTTCATTTGAGTGTCTCTCCAGGTTTTGTTTCTGTTGGCCTGATTGATAAAATCAGTCTTTGAGTGTTGTCCATCTTTAATATAGTGACTGACCACATCCAACATTTAGTAGCAGTCCTATTTTCTTTGATTAATTGACTCAGAGCATTTCAGCAGTATTCAGCTTTGGTGTGAAAATGTCAGAGGCCATTACCAGAGGAAAGACTGAATCACTCCAAGTTCTTGACATAAATATGGTCATATTTACTGTAAGACATTAAATATACAAAATCTTATCAATAATTTCAAAATATAAATGTGACTACCGCTCTTAGCACCAACAAACCCACATCAATCACCCTAACTTCTGAAAACTTCAGCAGTATGAGCTCTTAATTCTGGAGCTGAAGACAATAGGGTAGCTGAGTCCAGCACTTTGTTTTGAATCCACATTTAGTGCAGAAAAGCCTATTTTACAATACAGTATATGTGTCAGATTTCACACTCATGCTTAATGATCTCTGTCAGTTGTTTCTGGTAACAACAGCGCTCTAAATTATCCAAAAAACTCCTTCTGTTGTCTAGACGCAGGACTCCAGTCAAAGTGTTCAGCGGGGACCATGTTTCAGTAAACGGCTCCCATACTCTGTGTGGCTGACGGTGCTGCTGATGGTGTGTGGTGGTGCATCATGCCGGATGCTGGCAGACCTAAATGTCCATCCTGCTGTTGGTACCAGTTTTGGTGTGTATACTCCCCCATATAGGCGGGTGAAGAATCAACTGGAGGCTGAAAGGGGCCCTGCCCCCTGCTGCTAGGATGCAGCATTGCATTATTCTTGATGTTACTGCCATCTGCGTTGCTGCTGCTGCTGTTGTTACTGCTGTTGTTGTTGTTGTTGTTGTTTTCCCACACAGCTGGGGAAGGGGGAGAGTTGCAGGCCATGGAATCGCTGGCATCTGGGCTTTGTTCAAGATGAATTTCCCCAAGTGGAAACTCTCCATTCTTGTAGAGCTTCTTAAACTTGGAGCGACGGTTCTGGAACCAAATTTTGACCTGGTAGGAAGAGCATCAAATATTGAGGCAATTAAAGAACCTAGAAACGTCTACATTTTCTGAAGATCATTTTACCTCCAGGTCAGATATTATTAGACAAAGGCTATCTTTATTAATGTTACCACATTTATGATCAGTGTGTCATCAATGTAAGAAGAGAGTCAGCAGATTCTCTGCAGGAGGATTTCAGCTGTATCTTTCATTAAGAAAATCCAACTTTGCTAAATCAGTGACAGGACTGCACATAGTAAAATGTAACATGGTTAACTTATTGACTCCTTTCTCCCTTTCAGACTCTCTCACTGCTGCTGCTGTTTTAAAAGATAAATATGGGTTAATGTCACACATTATTTGCAGCTCCACTGGATTAAAATGGCTTTCCTGCTCTTTATTTACTATTACTATTTGCCAGCTAGCATCAAAGCTCCATTGTTGATGTTAATTCATCATGCCCAAGATTAATTCAGTGAACATATTCAGAATTGACCGAACTGACTCTGATCTGTTCTGGAACTGGAAACTCTGTTTCCATCTGCGAGTTGGTTAACTAGAGTTTGCTAAATCAGCTTTCAGGAATAGCTGCATGGTCATTCGATCTTTGTTAATATAAAGGTTGACTCTATCAGCATTTTTCTGCTTTTAAGCCTCTTTTAGCTTGTTGTTTTGGTTGCTTCCCTATAAACTCCACTGTTCCAGCCACAGCAGGCTGTTGTTTTCAGTGATAAATAACCCCAGAGTATAGTCTGTCCAGTACAAAACAACAGAAAGGTAAAGTTAGTGAGTGGAGCATTTTGCTGAAGAGTCTAAGCCCAAAAAAATAATAAACATTGGACATACATTCATCAGGTGGCCACAAACATAATTCCAAATGAATGATAATGTTGCTCTGTGACTGCTGGGTTTGTACAAAGCACCTTCTTGCTTACACCTTATTCATAACAGTGTCATGAGTTCACTGCTGTATTCCCATGTTGTTCTTCTGCTGCCAAGTGATGCTGCTTAAAAATCATTTCAAAAGTTTGCTTTGGTAATTTGATCCCCACTAGCAGGTTCATTTTGTTGCCCTGCTTGTTTTCAGTTGAGTTACTAATAAGGTAATTATATAGTATTATAAATTCATATAGGGTATTTCTCAAAGGTTTTTCAAATTCAGTTGTTGGTAAAAAAAAAAAAAGTTCATCTTCTCACAAAACATTGTTATAATAAACAAGGCAAACAAAAATTTGGTTATAACAGTATTTACCAAAAATAAATCAGGCAACTAATAAATAATATTTAAGTTCTATATAGCACAAGGCACTACATAGGACCTGTTATTGGCCAACAGTGGCCATATACAGTAGCTGCATTCAAACTAGTAACTAACATTTGTACTTTATCATATTAGTTCAGCTTTTTCATGTCATTCACATTCTTTCAGTAATGCAAATAAAAGTTTTCAGCCTTCCTCAAATGTTTGCACTGGTTTGTATTGTGAGGAATGTTCCAATCTCAAGTGGACGATCATCGCATGCTCTTCTGTTTACACACACTTCAGTTTTCTGTGACATTTCAGCCTCTAAACATCAAACTACAGCTCAAATGCTCCAACTGACATTTCAGCTGCTGTCAATCTTCACTAAATGACAGTTTAGCTATTTACAGTACAGTGAACTTAAACTGGATGATGGTTCAACGTGACCAATAATTGATTGCTGTCATCATTTACTTTTAAGTTGACATTTCATCTGCTTTCATCTTTCATAATTAAAGGGACGGTTCAACTTTAACTGCTAACTTACAAAATGAAAAGTCAACTGCCTACAGGGTTTAAATTTTAAATTAAAATGTATTTGACAGTTACTTTCCAGTGGATTTCAACTGCTTTTGGTTCTTATTTGAAGGTACTTTTTGTGTTGTTAATGCAATCAAAAATCAATACAAAAAAATTAAAAAAAACAAACAGGCATCTTTTTGTGTCATAAAAGGTTCTGATTGCAAATCCGAAAATTTTTTAGCACAAGTTGTGAATGAAAACTTTTTACAACTAAAAAAGTTTTGCAGTTCAAAATCTTCACATTACATTACAGTGGGAGGGATGAGGCATAATAATGCATCTGTACTGGCCAGTCAACACTGAATGACGGCTGTGACGAGCCAATGACTTTGGCTGAGGTCTCTGACAGTATCATTATTAATTCATGCATGTTCCAGGGACTGACTTGTGTTGTACTGTGCAGCTTGAATTCTGATCTCGTTCTCTATACGGCTGTTAACTAGCTATAATAGTAGCAGTAGTAATGCCATTAGCTACATTTATTGTTTTGTTGCAGGCAGTCCACTAGTCATGTGCAGATCAATCCTGAAACAACAATACTTCTTATCCCAAGGTTTGGGGTCAATTTCCACTTTAAAAGATTTATATTTATTTATCAGAAAGATTTCAATTTGTTCATGTTAATGATGAATGTTCCACACAAACTGAAGTTAGTCACGGCGTTCCACAGGGCTCTGTGTTAGGTCCAATTCTCTTCACTTTATACATGCTCCCTTTAGGCAATATTATCAGGAAGCACAACATAAATTTCCATTGCTATGCAGATGATACTCAGTTATATTTATCTATGAAGCCAAATGAATCAGATCAGCTGGTCAAACTTCAAGCATGTCTTAAAGACATAAAGGCCTAGATGACCTGCAACTTCTTACTTCTAAACTCTGACAAAACTGAAGTTATTGTGCTTGGGCCTGAAAACCTTAGAAATCTGCTGTCTAATCATATAGTTACTTTAGATGACATAGCTCTTGCCTCCAGTACTACTGTGAGGAACCTTGGAGTCATCGTTGATCAGAATATGTCCTTTAAATCACACAAAATCCAAGTCTCTAGATCTGCCTTCTTTCACCTGTGCAATATTGCAAAAATCAGGAGCATCCTGTCTCAAAGTGATGCTGAAAAACTGGTCCATGCATTTGTTACTTCCAGGCTGGACTACTGTAACTCTTTACTATCAGGATGTCCCAATAATTCCCTAAAAAGCCTCCAGTTAATCCAAAATGCTGCAGCCAGAGGACTGACAGGAACGAGCAAGAGAGATCATATCTCTCCCATATTAGCTTCTCTCCACTGGCTCCCTGTAAAATTCAGAACAGAATTTAAAATCCTTCTCCTAACATACAAAGCCCTTAATGACAAGGCTCCATCGTATCTTAAAGACCTCGTAGAGCCTTATCATCCTAACAGAGCACTTCGCTCTCAGAGTGCAGGTTTACTTGTGGTTCCTAGAGTCCACAGAAGCAGAATGGGAGGCAGAGCCTTTAGCTATCAAGCTCCTCTCCTATGGAACCAACTCCCAGTCTCAGTTCAGGAGGCGGACACCCTCTCTACCTTTAAGATTAGACTTAAGACGTTCCTTTTTGATAAAGCTTATAGTTAGGGCTGGATCAGGTGACCCTGAGCCTTCCCTTAGTTATGCTGCTATAGGCCTAGGCTGCTGGGGGCCCCATGATGCTCTGAGTTTCTCTCCCCTCCCCTCCCCTCTCCTCTCTCTCCCTATTTCTTTTGTCTCTCCTCTATCCACTCACCCCAACCGGTCGAGGCAGAAGGCCGCCCACCAAGAGCCGGGGTCTGTCGGAGGTTTCTTCCGTTAAAGGGAGTTTTTCCTCCCCACTGTCGCCAAGTGCTTGCTCAAGGGGGATTTGTTGGGTTTTCCCTATGTAATAATATTGATAACAGTAAGGTCTAGACCTTACTTTGTAAATTGTCCTGAGATGACTTTTGTTGTGATTTGGCGCTATACAAATAAAATTTGATTTAATTTTGATTTGATATCTAAAATCTGTATGCTAATTGGGGGTAAATGTATATTTTATCTTCAACAGAGGACACAGTAGAAAGCAACTCCACTAGCAGGATAGTAATACCTGGTTGATATTAACTACTTCTGCTTCAACTGATTTTTGATTGCAAGGCACAAAGGTACCTTCATGCTCTTACAGCTAAAAATGACACTTCAAATCCCTTCACTTCCTCAGCTTCAACTGACACTAAAGATGCTTTCACCTTAACTGGTGGCTCCCGTTAAACATATCACATATAAAAAATGTTTTAAAAGATGTCAGAAGTGTTAATTGATTTACAGTGCACATGTGTTTTTCAGTGTAAAAGAGCACACTTATATTTTCTTCAGAAAATGTGGCCTTATCTAATTATTACTGTGGTGTGCTGAAATGCAATGAAGAGCAGCCTCACCTGTGTCTGTGTGAGGCCCAGCTGCGCAGCCAGTTCAGCTCGCTCTGGCAGGGCCAGGTACTGGGCCGACTGGAATCTTCTCTGCAGGACTGCCAGCTGGTAGCTGGAGTAGATGGTCCGGGGCTTGCGAACCTTCTTGGGCTTCCCGTTGACCATCCGAACCTCCACGTCTGGTTCTTCCTTCACTGTGAGAAAAAAAAACAGCAAAAGCCATATAACATTTTTGCAACACTCCTGTTGCTGGCTTACAGTCAAAACTCTGATGTTACAAAATGTATCACAGCCGTGAGTCTTCAAACGATGAAATGAGCTTGTGTTTCTAAAAAGCACTGTGCAGAGAAGCTGTAGCACCAAAATAGCCATGGCGGCTACAACCCTGAAATTTCAAAGAAGTTCCTCCAGCAGTCTGAACTTATAATTTTGGTCTGAGTGTCTCGCACAGCCAGAGAGGGAGACAGAGATTTATAGGTGCTTTTCATGTATCCTGAAGCCCTGCTTGTTAATCTGTTCCCCAAGTCTTGTAGGTGTACTTTTTATTTAAGCTTTAGAAAAACAACCAAATGTATTTCTTTACATCTGAGTTATATATTTTGATGCTATTTTACTGGATTAGTTTACATGACCACTAAGGTAATGTCACCTTTTTTCCTTCTTGGAAATTTTAGCAACCTGGAGGGGGTTTACCTTGTACAACTGGGTATTTTACTGGCTGATTCTTTTATACTCTACATATTTAAATTGGACTACAAAATAAATAAATTATTTGGTATACTGAATTTTAAGCTTGGCTTAGACTTTGAAAAGGCATTTTAACCATTGTGTTGAGGAGTGATATTTATATCCAAATGTTTTAAATCATATCCAATTTTTTTAAAGAGCTTGTGTTTAGTGTCAGGTCCTAATCTTAGGAGGGTATGGGGGTAGTCTGGAAAGCCTCAGACTCATGGCCTCAGGATTTTCTAAAGTCTTGCTATGGCCCTGTGCCCATTTTTGCTTAATTTAGATATTTATTTAGCTATTTAACAATTAATTGACTAATTATTCTTATGATTTAGCAATAACAACATCAACAATAATAATAACTATAATAATAACGATGAACTATTCCAAATTATTTGTTAATAAAACAACTATTCATCTAATGTATTAGTTTATTTACTAATGTGACAGGGTGTGGCGGAAGGCCTTGCGTGATAAGCAGCTATCCTTGTTGGATGATTCAAACATCATGACGCCTGATGTGCGTGGCTGTGGGCCAAAGTCCCCCAGGGCCATTTCCAGAAGTGAACTCCCAAATGGAATGTCAAAAACAGTACACCAGTCTGTCGGTTTGTCTCTCCTCTGTAGTTTCCACAGAGACACCTTCCAAGATTGAAAAAGAGTGAAAAGACAGAGCTTTTGATTATAGTATGTCAGTACCAAAAAGAGAAGTGGAGCTAAAGTGGTGTTTATTGTCCTAATGTTGACCTTTACATTCTTATAGTTCTATGACAGGTTCTGGGGATTGAGTTTGTGTATAGTGACATCGAGTAATATTCTTGTGATATTTACTAAAGGAACTTTAAGTTTTGGCCAGCATTTTTACCTTTTCTACACATTATTGTACAGTTAGTTGATTTATATTAGTGTGGACTGTTTAAATTACCCACCAATGACATGTACAACTCTAAATCAGAAAAATATGGATGGTATGTAAAATCCAAATTAAAACTGAAAATAGTGATGTGTAAATCACCTGTGTCATATTGAAAACAATACAGCAGCACATTATTTGATGTGACCCCTCATCAGTTTTATTTTTTTGTTTGAAAGAAACACTTTAATTCTGTTACCTGCAACACATTCCAAAAAAAAGTTGCGACAGCTGCATTTCAGGGCCAGTAATGAGGTAAAACAATGAAATGATGATTCCATTTGAAACAGGAGATGTCAGCAGGTGACTGCACCATGATTTGGTACAAAGGTGGCATCTAGGAAAGGCCAAGCCCTTTAGGAGCAAAGCTGGGATGAGGATCACCAGTTTGACAACATATGCAAAAGAATATTATTGAAATATTTAAAAACAATATTCCTCAGAGACAGACAGGAAGGGATTTGGACATGTCACCCTCTAACATAATTACATGATTCAAGAAATCTGGAGAGATTTCAGTGTGTAAAGAACAAGGGTCAAGTCTAAGCTGGATGATCGTGCTCTCTGGTCCCTCAGATGACACTGTATCAAGAATCATCATTCTTCTATAAGCGATATAACCACATGGGCTCAGGATCACTTTGGCACACCTGTGTCAGGCACTACAATACGTAGTTACATCTCTAAATGCAGCTTAAAACTGTACTGTGCCAAAAGGAAGCTCCATGTCAACAGCGTCCAGAAGCCCAGTCGACTGCTCTGGGCTCAGAGGCATCTGGGATGGACCATCACACAGTGGAAATGTGTACTGTGGTCAGACAAATCAGTATGTCAGGTCTTTTTCAGAAGGAATGGATGCCATATGCTCCAGACCAAAGACAAAAAGCACCATCCAGACTGTTACCAGCAACAAGTCCAAAAGCCAGAGTCTGTCATGGTCCGGGCTTGTCAGTGGCCGTGGTAAAGGTAACTTACACTTTTGTGATGGGACCATTAATGCTGAACAATACATAAAAATCTTGGAGCAACATACGTTGCCTTCAAGACGACATATTTTCCAGGGATGCCCATGCATATTTCAACAAGACAGTGCAAAACCTTATATCATGCATATTGCCAAGGAAAAAGGGTGTGAGTGCTGGACTGGTCTGCCTGCAGTCCCACCCTGTCCCCAATAGAGAATGTGTGTTGAAATACAAATTGCATCAACAAAGATGCAGGACTGTTGCACACCTTAAGACTGGGACAAAATGACACCTGACACATTTAATCACTTGTTGTCCTCAGTCCCTAAATGTCTTTTAAGTGTTTTGAAAAGGAACTACAACATCACACCGTGGCAAATACTTTGCTGTCCCAACTTTATTTTGGAATGTGTTGCAGGAATCAGAATTGAAATGATGTTTATTTTGAAGAAAGAATAAAATTGGAGAGGTGTCACATCAAATAATGTGCTGCTGTATTGTTTTCAATGTAATACAGGACACAGACACAGTACATCACTATTTTCAGTTTTAATATTGATTTTACATACCGTCCCAGCTTCTTCTGGTTTGGGGCTGTAACTAATTTAGTTTTTCATTCTTAATACAGGTGAACTTTAAAAGTCACTGACTACAACTATGGCTCCCATCCAAAGGCCTTCAGGCTTATCTGCATTTTCTTATCAAAATAAAATCTTAAAGAAGAACAAGACAAGACAATAACCCTGAGCTGACCCTAAGCTTCCATTTGCAGTTAATAACACTGCAAAATGAGACAATACAATAACAGAATGAATTTATTTCCATCTAATTTAACGGCTTTTCTTTCAAATTTGCTATGTTCCAGGCTGACCCTTCATTTAGCCCAGAGGTCAGCACCTTTTACTATTTGAAGAGCCATTTTTATCCAGAAAGAAAAACAAAATCAGCCTGGAAGCACATAAACTATATGAGCCCTTTACTTAACATGCAGGTACCACAGCCTATTGGCTAAAAAGCCAATGCACAGTATAAATGCATGTTTTACCAAAAGGTGAGTGTTTCAGGCTATTTATGATTAGACTATTTGGTACATCCCCATTACAATAATTAAATGTTTTGGTGCATTTACAAAATTTTAAAAAGACAACTGGTGACACTTTTGTTATTTTTATTGGGGGATACCATTTCCAGCAAAACTGATTGTGTAGTGGAGAAAACAAATCCACAGCCATGTGTGGGTTTACTTAAAAGGCATCTCTCCTCTCTGTGTTTGTGGAAATTAAATAAATAGCCAAAATGCCATGAAAAAAGCAAAATATGCATGCAGGTAGTACCTGGATGGCCTGCATAACTTTATAGTAAATCAAAGGATGCTCCGCTTTCCCGTCATACCATGGTGATGACAGGGCAGGCTTAGAGCCATTATAATTTTCATCCTAGGATTGTAGTTGTGCCACTTTATTAAGGTTTGTTATTTTTTCAGTCAAGAAAATAAGCATATAGCTTTTGGATATGTGATCAGTCGAACCAAGTAATGCCAATTTAGAGATTTTCTCATACATTTTTGGAGATGTGATGACCCGCTAATGTGCCAGCTAGCTAGTTCTGCTTAGCAGACATACTGTAGCTGTAGCCATTGAGCCAAGGAGCCACTGAAGAGGGGCTAAAGAGCCGCATGTGGCTCAGGAGCCATGGGTTGCTGACCCCTGATCCAGCCAGCAATAATCTCCAGTTTCCTTAATAAATCCTGCAGTCTGTGATATTCCTGACATGCAAACCCAGAAGTTGCTGTCCTGATGATAAATGGCAAGCTGAGTTTATTTGTGAGTTCCTGTTTGGGCCAAGGAAACTTCGCATTCAGGTTCTGACCTTTTAGCAGGAGACGACTGCAAACCTCACTGGCTATGTGAAACTATACTGTCTGTGGAGACCAGGATTACAGCTTTTCAAATCAAAGAGTAACAGCTCTTCAACCCTTAACAATGGTATTCCTGAGCAAACAGTGTTTAGAATAGCTAAATTATAAAATGATTCTAAAAAAATCAGTGAATGTCACCAACACAGCTGCACTTCACAATGGTTGAATTATTAATTTGGAAATATGAAAACATTGGGCTATATATTTGCAAAGATGACTCATTTTTATGTGTATGGACGTGTGTCCTGGGTCTCTCCCACTGTAACCCTCCTTCACTGATTTAAAAAGTCAGACATTCAAGGTTAAGAAAACACCAGTTAAATGCAGCTGATTGTACAGTATATGAAATGTGGTGTAAAAAGAATGACTGTTGAGAAGTGAAACTCATTGTTCCTTTTTACTGGGTTTACTGTATATGACTAAACAGAAGCACTAGCTCCACATCAGTCGCAGGTGATGAATCCACTTTTCCTGGACGAAGATGGACCGGATCTTACAGAGCTAGGCTGTTTGTAAGGGGAACACCTCAGTGCGTCTGTGCACTAGGCCTATACGCATGGAGACCTTACATCGATGTAATGTATGTTTTCATAAAGCCAATCCAAAAAAAACACCAGCTGTGAATCAGTCAGATATGTTGTGCCCAGTGTAACCATTCACGCACGGAAGCTCTTTCTTGTTTTGTTGGGATAACTCACCACCGTCTTGCAGCGCTG